TGCCGAATATTACAGGTGTTACAAGAGAGTAACAAACACACACAAAAAAGAAGGAGGGGAGATAAAGATGATTGATGTTTGATGATAGGAAAGAAGAAGCAAACTACACAGGAGCACCCGCCAACCACCCACCGAGAGCTCTGATCGAAGGAGCTGCCGAATCACGACACACCAACAGCTGACACATATAAACAAAGTTTGTAGGTCAACTACGACCCTACACAGATGCTGTTAATCACACCATTTTGGCTAGAAACACTTTGTCCCCGTGGTTTTAGGCACCCCGCATAATTTAGCAAAATTTGATCATTTTGTGCATAATTTCAGATTATTTTCCTTTACCATTCTTTGCTAAAATGAACAGAATCGCATAATTTCACATTTTTGGGCTCAGTTTGCATAATTTCAGAATTTTTTTGTGCATAAAACCTCGGGGACAGCTTGTACTAAGCTTCACTTTCATACCTTTCTATCACAAACATACATTTAAACATACACAAATTAGATAATGGTACATATAAAAGCATACACATACACATACAAGTAAAATTTTAAAATGGTATATCATGTCAGTTAATATATATATATATGGAAGGCAACGGCAAAAAGTGTGAAACACCATTTGATACAATCAAAGTCCACCCTCATTTTTCTCAGTGGCGCAGCTTTTGTACAACAAGGTAAAAGCAAACATGCAAATATCCTGATACAAAATATTGTTCTTTCATACCACATGTTTCTGCAGTTAGTATAATTAATAAAGCATTTCTCCTGGATATTTTAAGAGTAGTTCATTTAAGTCACATGCGACAAGTCAAAAAATGAACAGAACATTTGAGGTAAACAATTATTTATTATGGAATGCAACGATAACAAATACACATGATATAATCCTTCTAACCCGCCCCACTCTATATAAAAATGGATGTCTTGGATAACGCGGAATGCAGTTTAAATTCACAACCATAGAATATTGCAAAAAATCCTTAAGGCACTATTCAAAAATCAAATTGTTTAAAAAATCCCCAACACGCATGGTCAGTGGTAGCAAGTGTTATGTTGTTGTTTCTCTGCATAACGTATATCATGGAGAACAATTTCACCATCACAACCATCAATTTGTAAACACGCACAGAATACCCCACCAGCACAGAATACCCCACCAGTCCCTCACCTCACCATGTGCACACACACAAAATGTCCCCACCTAAAACTAAGACCTGTTCAACTAGGCTCAACATACAGGATAATACGGATAACTCGAACTTGTCGGGACCGGCCTCTGTAGTTCCAGGGATCTGTAATTCAAGGGATATCTTACAAAGAAAAAGAAGAAGAAAAAAAAACCCGGGACCGCAGACATAGTTTAACGGATGCCTGATTTCGAGTCTTCTGTGTTCGACTTTTCTGTGTTTTACTGTATTTATGTGCAGTTAAGTAATGTGGTAACATGCTTCTATCAGCTTTATGTTAAGACCAGTGCACCTGGAGAGGTATTCACCAAAAGCAGAGGGCCACATTATGAAAAAAAAAAAAATCAACTTTAGAGACCTTAATCAAGTTGATAAACAAAGACTGCTACCCTGATCTGCATTAGCAGCCAACAGAAAAGAACACAAGAAATGTTGTCAGTCACATTTCAGCCTGAAAGTAGAGGAATTGCTCCGAGATTTTCACCAATAAAGACTGAACTTCACTTTCCTGAACAGATAGGAAGAGTAACTGCAATGCTTGCGTAGCTTTCAAAATCCAACGATGATTCTTTTATGACAGTCTGAATACATATTACGTGATTAACTCATTGAAGACACACATTCTGGTCATTCAACAGTTCCTGAAGATACTCTGATTTGGGGCATAACTTCACTGTTTGAACATTCTTTTTTAGTTTGCTTTCTTTATAACTGAAATGTTAAAAGGATTGAAATAGTATGCATAGTATGTTATATTTCTCTATGCAAATTATATTTCAGATAATTTGTGTATGATCGTTCAAAATTTCCAGAAATGTTGCCCTTGCTCTGCGGTTAACCGGATATATGCATCTGTTACGTCCTCAAAGGATTAAACCACTGGTGGAGTACAAATATCAAGCCAGTGACTCTTTCGTTGTTTTTGTAGTGAGTAGTGTCTATACTGTGCTTGTGAGCAGCAATACTGCTCCTACTCACTAGATCTATGCAGTACCGGTATATCATAGAATGTGGAGTCACCTTTAAGTCCAAGTCGTTTCTAAACGTGTCTTATATTTTTATTTAAACCTAAACACTGCAAAAAAGACTACACATCTTGTTCTAAAATAAGACCCCTTCTATAAGTATTATGAGGAGTAATTCAAGTAAATTAAGCTATATATATATTATATAATATGAATCTTGCTAGATGGAAAAATCATGTCTTCTGATGTATAGAACACAGCACATGCAGCATGCTGTAGAGCATGGATATATGTGCTTTATAAAAATACCGTTATTGTAGTACGAAGATGAAAAAAGCCTGTCTTCTAAACAAAGCATGAAAAAAACCCTTCTCCAAAACAGAATTGTTGCAGAATGAACAAAACAGCGAACAATTTTCTTTTCATGATCATGACTCGATCCGTATACATGAGATTTATATTTCTATCATTATCATGAAAAACAGATTCGACAAAAGTTCAGCATGCCATTTAATAATTTTTTTAGTGCTAATTTTCCCACACAAGGTTTATTGTAAAATGTGACCGATCCTTCAAAGATGTATGTATATTTGTAACTAAACTATAAGTTACAAGAATCCTACCACAGCTACACAAATGGTCAGATTCTCAATGCATGTTACATATAGAGAGACTGAGAAACTTTTGGAGCAAACCCCTGATGGTAAAACAAAATTCTAACAAAGCTAACAAAAATGAGGAAAATAAATGATAAAAAATTAAAAATTAAATAATTTAAAAATACGTAAGTTGGGAACATTTAGCATTCCATGTTTTGGGTATATCATAAATCTATATCTAGTTTCCTCAAACACACACCCAGGCTTGATTTACATAAATAAGGAAAATAAATGGGTAAAAAAAAAAAGTCAGAAAACATTTAGCATTTCATACTTTCTGTGTATGCCAAACCTCTAGATCTGTCCCTGGGGTTTTATGCACTCCGCAAAATTTAGCAAAATTTGATCATTTTGCCTATAATTTCTGATTATTTTCCTATGTCATTCTTTGTTAAAATTAACAGAATCGAAGAATTTCACATTTTTTGGGCTCAACTTGCATAGTTTCAGAATTTTTTGCATAAAACCCCAGGGACAGCTAGATCTAGTTTCCCCAAATACCAGATATCCCTTGGTTTACAACAATCCCCTCTCTCGAGTTTCCTCACTGTGCATGCCAATAAACAACTGACAGTTGATCTGATACAAATATAATACTCATCAACATTCTGATGGAGGAAAAAGTAAAGTTAAGACCCCCCCCCCCCCCCCCCCCAAAATGACCATATGGTGACCCTACCGTGACCCCAAAATGACCCCTACCGCAACATCAGATCAATGGCTGGATGCAAAACTCGGAAAAACCCCATTAGATCTAGATCTATACAATTTTGCATTTGTTGGTCTTTTATAAAATATTTATATATATATATATATATATATATATATATATATATATATATGAGGCAGCGTGGTGGAATCAGGCTCTCGTCAATTTTTGGACATGTAGAGTTATTCTTAACATTATAAAGCTTGTTCACTTGTCTTTATTTGGATGAAAAAAATATCCATTTATCTTGAATACAAGTCAAGATATTTGCGAAAGAAGGAGGTGGAGGTCACCTGTTTTCAGAGGTAAAATTAATGAGAAAATGGCTGCGAAAGATTAGTTATTTCCTTAGCTTAAGAGTCCGTGGTAACTGAAAATTTACAATTTCCGTGCCTTTAATCTACGTTATTCAGAAAAATCCACACAGAAATGAGTTCTTTAATGGGCATGAAAGGTGTAGTTCCAAAAAACAAAAAATTGATAAAAATTCACAAACCTGCGGAAAAATGCAAGTTTCTTTACTTCGATTATTTTGATGAGAGCCTGATTCCACCACGCTGCCCCACATATATATGTGGGTGGTTGGCGGGTGCTCTGGTGGGATCTGCTTCTTCTTTCCTATCAAACATCTATCGTCCTTATCTCCCCTTCTTCTTTTTTATGTTTGTTACTCTCTTGAAACACCTCTAATCTTCTGGCGCTCATATGACTTTATGCAGTTGCGAGCGCCGCAAAACCCTCTATTAAAACTTTTAAAAAAAATATAGGCCTATATATATGGAAAAAAATGTAGATGTTTTTGACACAATGAAGATAATTTTGGAGGCAGGCTTCCAGCCCTGCCCGTTAGGGTCAACCCAGGCTGAGGAGAGGGATACACCATCCCAGCAGAAAGACTGAGATGCTTGATAAAAAAAATTTTCGCATCACTCGAGAATCAAACTTGGGTCTCCTGCAAGTGACAGCGAAGCGCCTAACCACTACACCACAGACATCAGATTGTCGGAGTTTTGCACCCAGCTGTAAAGATGTTGGGCATTACGTTAAGCCGTTCAAAATAATATGAGGTGGTGGTGGTAGGGGGCTAAACTTTACTTTATCCTCTGATTGTACATGAAATTTACTTTGTCATGTATGAAGAGGAGGCAAAACAGTAACAATGTAATAAAGCATCAGTTCTGTACAATAATAAAAAATATAAACCTTTATGTACACTGTTTTGGGGGTGAGGAAGGAGGGAAGGGGCAGGCGACCTCAAGCATTCATACAAGGGGTGGGAGGGCAACCAAACTCCTCGTGCTTACAACCACCTACCATCTGGCATTGGCAGATCTTCATTTGTGTCTTCAGTTTTAATTCAATTAAAAATTCACGGCACTTATAATAATCACCACAAAAAGATTAGAGGCGTTACTAGAGAGTAACACCCAAAGAAAAGAAAAGAGAGAGGAGAGATAAAATGGTAGATGTTTGATTTTTTTTTTTTTATGGCATGAAGACAAAATATATGTGCCTACAGACGCACACAAGTACATACAGGTAGACACATACACGTGCACAAATTACTTTCATTTTCTTTGATTGAGTTTGAATATAGAAGAAAAGCACATCTCAAAAGAATGAAGACCATCTAGCTCAAGAAAAAAAAAGCAAGAGAGACTGTCAGACAAAAAGGACTAGGGAAAAAATGTATCGAGGTAAAAGAATTCATATCTATCTACCAGGTGGTCAAAGTATTTATATATTATATCTATCTACCAGTGGCACCCTCCAACCACCCACATTCTCACTTTACCACTCATCTGGCAAGTGCAAAAATACAGAAGTGTCCATTTATTAAGACGGTTGATCACAAAACATAGCATGAATCAAAACCATACATTTTGAGCTAAATAACACACTGGTCAGGTACACATTAAGCCAATTCCTCTCTCATAGACAGCTCTCTCTCTCTCTCTCTCTCTCTCTGTGTCTCTCACTCTCTCTCCCCTTTCTCTTTCTCTCTCCCATATCTCTCTCTTTCTCTCTCTCTCCATCTCGCTCTACCTCTCACTGCCTCTCTCTCTCTCTCTGTGAAGTCTTTCTCAACTGTCTCCCTATGTCTTTCTGAAAACCATCATTCTTTCTCAAACATTTATCAACACCCTCAAACACACACACACACATGTCCACCCACCCACACATAAACTATAAACACACCCACACACATACACCACCCACCCACACACACACTACACACACATCCACCCACCCACACACACACAACTATGTACACAGACACACAACTGTCAAGTGAGCCTGGCTGGCCTAGATCAGCCTCTCCTCCGGTGGTTTCTTCAGCACATTGCCTAGCTCCACCCTGGACCCCGACGACTCCTGCTGGCTGGGGCTGTACACGCCGTGGCTGGCTCGCTTCTCCCGCCATGACTTCAGCAACCAGATGGCCCCCACTGGGGACGGTCAGATTACCATTCTTTAGTTTTTAGTAAAATAATAAGGCTAAACTCTGCGAAGTAACTCATTTTTTTAGTACAACTTTTACGGCACTTGCAACACAATAAGGTCATATAAGTGCCTGTGGTCATCTGTCTGGCTCCGTATTATGCACACAGACAGTTTTTTGGGGTTTGTTTTAGTAAGAGTTTAACGGCACTTGCAACGCAGTAAGGACATTAAGGTCATATAAGTGTTGAAGATAAGAGTTTTAAGTTTTAGTAAGAGTTTTACAGCACTTGCAACACAATAAGGTCATATGAGCGCCAGAAGATTAGAGGTGTTACAAGAGAGTTACAAACATAAAAAAGAAGGAGGGGAGATAAGGACGATAGATGTTCGATAGGAAAGAAAAAGCAAACCCCACCAGAGCACAGTTGTTATTTTAGTAAGAATTTTACGGTATTCGCAACACAATAAGGTCATAAAGGTCATATATAAGTATCGAACATTAGAGGTGTTACAAGAGAGTAACAAACACAAAAAATAAGCACAGTGCAGCCTCTCTATAACGACATCATCGGGAGCAGAAAAAAATGTCGTTATAGAGAGTTGTTGTCATAGAGAGGCAACCAAAAATTACTAATGGTATATAAAGAAAAAATCGGGACCTGGGCACCATGTCGCTATACAGAGGATGTTGTTATATCGAAGGTCGTTATAGAGAGGCTGCACTGTAATAATACATATTAATATACGTATAATATAATATAAATTCTATAGAAATAAATTTATAATGATAGTAATAATAAAGATAATTAATTACTCTTGTTATTATCATTATTATTATTATTATTATCATCATCATTATTATTAGTAGTATTATTATTATCAAATTATTATTGTTATTGATATTATTATTATTATTATTATTAATATTATCGTTATCATTGATTATCATTATTACTATCATTACTATAGGGATCACTGAAAAATTAACAACAAAGGTTAAATAATTCTCCTCACGACTGCTGAGAGAGAGAGAGAGAGAGAGAGAGAGAGAGAGAGAGAGAGAGAGAGAGAGAGAGAGAGAGAGGGAGGGAGGGAGGGAGGGACGGAGGGAGGGAGGGAGGGAGGGAGGGAGGGAGATAGAGATAGAGAGAGAGAGAGAGAGAGAGAGAGAGAGAGAGAGAGAGAGAGAGAGAGAGAGAGAGAGAGAGAGAGAGAGAGAGAGAGAGAGAGAGAGAGAGAGAAGAGCTGGCACTCACCTATCAAAGCAATAAACAACAGCCCGCCCAGGATCGGCACCAGGATGAGGATGAGGTCGGTGTCATCGTCGGACTTGACCGGGCTCTGAGGAACAATCACGATATTCTGGGATCACGCATTGGGTCATGAGCCTGCTCAAAATTCTTCTGTAACCAGAAGAGAGCGACAAGATCGTCTACTTACTTGATGAACATGTGCAGATCTTGGATAGGGTCTAGGTTTTTTGGCTGTTTTTTTTTAGTAAGAGTTTTGTGGCGGTCGCAACTGCATGAGCTTTTAAGTTTTATTAAGAGTTTTACAGCATTTGTAACACAATAAGGTCATATCATATAAGTTCCAAATATTAGAGGTGTTACAAGAGAGTAACAAACACAAAAAAGGAGGAGGGGACATAAAGATGATAGATGTTTAATAGGATCCTAGGAAAGAAGAAGCAAACCACACCAGAGCACCCGCCAACCACCCACTTGGTTTTACTGCGTTCGCAACTGCATATGGTCATATGAGCGCCAAGGGGTGGATGTCGGTACAAAGTCTTCTTCCACTATCAAGGTACCCCGGAAATAGCAATTCACAAGAGAGTGACAAATGTACAAAAGAAATAGAGGATGACAATAGTAAGGATGAGGAAAGAAAAAGCAACAGTTCCCCCTATGTAGTTCTGGCACAGTATGAGCATGACATTGATAACTCAGCCTATTTACAATTCTACTGTGCATAAGAACATGTTTATATCCCCCCTTTAGGAATGGCCTAAAGACAACTTCAGTCAGGGGAGGGTCTAGGTTTATCGTCGCCTCAGAATTATTTTGTCCAAAATATACATAAAGGCACTTTGGAGAAAATAGTTCTGAGGCGACATAAAGTTACATTAGTATATCCCCCCCACCCCTTCCCCACCCTACCACCCCAAACAAATTCTCACAATGTCATTGAATGAGGAAAGAAACAAAAGTCCTCCCGTAGTGTTGTATGTAACTGCAACAACAGATCTGCACATTTTCATCAAATAAGGCAAAAGTATCAGAAAATACAAACCAAAAAAAACTCAACCAAAAAATCTAAAAACAAACCAGAGAAAAAGCTACATGGTAGGTCACAGCAATTTACACTGCAAAATTAAGGCACTTCTGTTTCATACTTTATCATACTATGTAGAAAAAAAATGATTTTGGCCTGCTCCAACAAGCACATGAGATATTCCCCAAGAGCCAAAAAAAAGAAGTTGTCTCAAATATTAGGTACTAGATCTATTAACACTAGCCGTATGAGTATTAGAATTGTGATAACTATTTTATTACATGTTTCTGCATTTTTTTCTTTATTATCATGAACAATTTTTCCATTGCTAAAAGAAATGGAAGTGATATTGCACATGCAGCCCATAAAAAGCAACATTGCTTTTTCACGATATTTGTGTAGTCAACATGTAGAGATACAATTTTTCCTTGGGCTGATTGTAAATAAGTCTTCATTTTGACACTGTAAAATACTTGGTAGGTAGAAATAAGACCTACCAGAGGTGCCCTCCAACCACCTACCCGCTCTATGCTTGGCTAAAAAGGTCTTCCAAAGAGAAGGGAGAAAAAAAGAGGTGGGGAACAGTTTGTAGTATGGTAGTATTATTATCGACAAGCTGATTGTGAAAAGCCCCGCACAAGACCTGTACTGTAAAAAAACCTGACAAATAATAGGCGTCATGAGACCATCTAGGAAACATTCATAAAGTGGATAAGGAGGCGCTATGTTTTGCCGAACGGGAAAAAAATTTGCCGAAACTAAAAGCCCCGAACAAAGTTGTTCCCATATCCGATCCGGACATTGGGGATTGCCTTGTTAGTGAGACAACTTCCTGGGCCTTTGACATATTGAGGTAGGGTGGTCAGTTCCTTTCCACACTGCCTTTATTTCCCCAACTCGAAGTCAGGTACCCATTACTGCTGGGTGGGCAGGAGGGGGCGAAAAAAATCTGTGTCCGGACCGAGACCCAGACTTTCTGCTTCGGAGACAAGCGCATTAACCGCCCCGAAAAACCCCCGTAAAAAGCCGGACAAATTAATAGGCGCCATGGAACTATCTAGGAAACATTCATAAAGTGGATAAGGAGGCGCTATGTTTTGCCCAACGGAAAAATAATTAGCCAAAACGATGAAAAGCCCAGATTGTTTTAGTAAGAATTTTACGGCACTGCACTTGCAACACAATAAGGTCATATAAGTGCCGAAGATTAGAGGTGTAACGATAGAATAAAAAACATTAAAAAGAAGGAGGAGAGATCAGGACGAAAGATGTTTGATAGAAGGAAAGAAGGAGCAAACAACACCAGAGAACCCGCCAACCACCAGCATAGTAAGGTTTTACGGCGCTCAAAACTGCATAAGGTCATATGAGCGCCAAGGGGTGGATGACAACAGAGAAGTCCAAATGAGGAATCAGGCTTGCTCTGCTCGCCTCTCAAGCTTCAACAGCACAAAGTCTTCTTCCACTATCAAGGCACCCCGGAAATAGAAGTTCACAAGAGAGTGATAAACATACAAAAGAAGTAGAAGAAAATGACGATAGTAAGGATGAGTAAAGAAAAAGCAGCAGTTCCCCCTATGTTGTTCCGGCACAGTATGAGCATGACATTGATAGATCTGCCCATATACAATTTTACTGGCTCACCTTCTCACAGCTGGGCCCGTCGTAACCGTCGGCGCACTCGCAGATGAAGCTAGTTTGCTGCTGGTCAACGAGCGAGTACTGGCACGAGCCGCCGTTCATGCAGGTCACGTTGAGGCAGGGGTTGTCCAGCTGGCAAAAGTCCCCGAGGTACAGCTCCATGTCACAGATACAGGTGAAGTTGCCCGGCCCGTTGACGCAGTTGCCCTGGTGGCAGATCGGGGGGTCCTGCAGGCACTCGTCCACGTCTGCAGAGCAGTTGTCTCCCTGGTAACCTGGCGTGACAGCACAGCATAGCACACAATCAGTCACTTACACATACACACATTGAGCTCTTTTGTTCCTTTTTTTTTTCGCTTTAGAAAAGTGTTTTGCGGCACTTGCAACACAATAAGGTCATAAAAGTTTTAACGATGCTTGCAACACAATAAGGTATTATAAGTGCCAAAGATTTTTTTCTAGTTTTGTGGAATTTGCAACACAATAGGGTCATATAAGGGCCGAAGATTTTTTTGGGGTTTTAATAAGCGTTTTTAAAGCACTTATATTATTTTCTATTGTTCACACTTTGTCCATCAAAGGAAATTGTTAATCCCTCCCAGCCTGACTCGGCCCACTGACAGAAATATGCAATGTTTGACCCACGATAAGAGATATGTGCACAACCTGTACTTATTCATTATATATATATAAAAGAAATAAAATCAGCATCCATAAGTTCATGAAGAGAAATATTAGAAAAAAGAATAATGTATTCTCCGAATTGAAAACAAACTTCGGCAGTCAGCAGACCCTCAAAAACGTAATACGTTTTAAATAACTAGTTGGCATTTAAGCATTATTCTAAAAAAACAATTCATGAAAAAAAAAGAGGAATCCATCTCCAGTAAAGCCAGCTCCTCAAGGATATGAGGTGGGAAGTAATAAGCAAAGGCACACACCACAAGGGTAAGCAAATGCACACATTGAGAGGTGTCTTTTTTTTGGTTTTTGGTAAGCGTTTTACGCCTCTCGCAACTGCATAAGGTCATTTGAGCGCGTGGAACACACCAAACATTTTCAGTTGGCAGGAAATTTTGAATTTTACTCGGGTGGTGGACGGAACCTACTCTTATCGATTTTGGACCACCAAGGGATCTTTAACGTGCGCAACTTGCACACGGGACCTCCGAGATTTTTCACTCTTGTCCTGAGAAGTCTAAGTGTAGAGAGGTATTTGGCAGATGGAAAGATGGAGAAGATAATTTATCTACTAAAAATATTTAAAGGGGTGGGGGCGGCTTTTAAAACAGATGATTTTTTAAATCAGTTTGGTACCTGGGCTGTCTACATCTAAGCCTATTGGTAACTTATATGAGAGATTTTGGAGAATGCTATTTTCACCTATAATTGTCTTTCAAAACATTGGGGGTAGAGCAGAAATTATATTAATTTTTAAAAAGTAAGAAAACATGATCTATAGCATAACAAATGTCGTTATTATCATAATTTCCATTTCGATTGCTTTTTCTCTATAGGCTTTTTTTTCACTTTCAATTTGGCTGCAATGATACTCTTAGGATTTGTTGTTCACATCTTAACCAAACTCTGCACAGTTGGGCAGATGAGTAGATGCACCTGTACTTGAGATTTATGGGTGATTGTGTCACTACATTCTGTGGTGTGAAGGAGGGCAGGGAGGTGAGTTATCTGCCTATTATTGTTTTCCTTTTCAAGATATCCAAGAACCTATCTCAACTATCTGTAGGCAATTTTGTTTGTTGATTATTGCACAATGTACCTATCAAGACACCAAATCTGGATAAATGTGATTGAAAAATGAAATATCCTTTTTAGCTTTATTAAAGCTGTTGATCTTAAATATAATGGCTATCGTTCGCATGGTAACTTACTTTTGATTATTAAAAACAACAACTATAGGGCCCATGCTGCTTGAAAGAGAACAGAAACAACATTAAAGAGTTTTGACTGTAGTAGGCCTACTCGAAAAAGACTTTTTTCTACCTGATCCAATCTTTAATTCATAAGTTACAGACTTTATCATGTGTGTACATATTTTTACATGTATCTGATTTAGTGTGATGTTTTAGTGTGACAACGCGAGAGCATGACAGAGCTTGGAAGAAGAAGAAGAAGTAAATCACAGCCAGCCCCATGGTCATCAAAAGCTTAATTAAAAAGATAACTGCATTTCATCTGCAAGAGAAATGTAAAAAAAAAAAAATTCTGATAAATTTAAGCAAAAAAGCAAACAAAAACAACCGAGTGAATCTAATAGTCTACCAGAAGTGCTCTAAAAACAAATACCTGTGCATTTTTTTTCTATAAATTAAAAAATTGTAGACATTAAGAGTCTACTAACGATTATACTATAATGAATCCGTGCAGAACACAAAAAGCAAGCAGTAAAAGCTTGGCTGTGTTATATAAAAGCATACTGGGGACGTGGGCTGAACTATTTAGTTTAGTTTTAAGTTTTAGTATGAGTTTTACAGCACTTGCAACACAATAAGGTGAAAGAAGTGCCAAAGATTTAGTTTTAGTTTTAGTAAATGTATTACGGCACTTGCAACACAATACGGTCATACAAGTGCCAAAGATTAAAGGGGCTACAAGAGAGTAGCAAACACAAAAAAGTAGAAGGAGGGGCAGAGTTTATGACGATAGATGTTTGATAGGAAAGGAGGAACAAACCACACCGGAGCACCCGTCAACTACTTGTGATTGAACTATGAAGTTCATAATGAATGTACATTGTTATATAATTCGTACACGCACAACAACACACAGACAGAGAGGCAGACAGACAGAGATGGGAGGGGGGTAGGAGTTGAAGGAGGGGTAGAGGAAGAGAAAAATAAAAGAGATCAGGAACCAGTGAAATAGTGACATTTTCACAAGTAGAACTACCAGGCCCCTGAGAGATGAATAAAAAAAAAAAGGACGTCTTTGTCGGTTTCATGGCCATCATAATCATGACCATTTTGTCTCCTACATCCTTTCTTCTTTCTCCTCCCT